TCTTTTAGCTATCCTGTTTTTTTTGTTTTTTCATATGAAGTTGAGTATTGTTCTTTCCAAGTCTGTGAAGAATTGTGTTGGGATTTTGATGGGGATTGCATTGCATCTGTAGATTGCTTTTGGTAAGATTGGCATTTTTACTATGTTAATCCTACCTATCCATGAGCATGGGAGGTCTTTCCACTAAATATTAGCATCTTAGAATCAACATTTGAAGCATCCTGTCATCCTAGTACAGACTTTCTTCTTTGTAAATTCATTTTCAATTATTTTTTTTGGGGGGGTCTTTCAAGACAGGATTTTTCTGTGTAGCTTTGGCACTTTTCCTGGAACTCACTCAAACTCAAACTCACAGAGATCCGCCTGGCTCTGCCTCCCGAGTGCTGGGATTAAAGGTGTGTACCACCACTGCCCGGCTTCATTTTCTATTTTTAACAAGGTAGTATATGCAGTCATTTCACAGTTGTGATCAGCTGGGGACAGGGGCCTCTTGCCTCCCTGGGCTTTTGAGAACCCCCAGCTGGGTGTTGTTTTAGAGGTGTGCTTCCGTGTCACCAGTGGCCTGTCTGCTTTCCAGCTGGAGTGGGTCCCACTTTGTAGCTCTCCATAGATGTCCATTAGTGGAAATTGAAGATGCAGCACTTTCTAATGTTGACATAATGATTTTTATCAGTGTGGATGATAGAATATTATTATGACTTACGTTTTCCTCCTAACCAAATCTTATACTTATATTATGATTTTCTCTTGTGCTGTGCATTCCCGGGAACCAGCTCCATCCCTGTTTGCCTGTTTGGTTGTCTCCATGAATGGTTCTGATTTATCTAACACATGCAGAGTTGTGGATTTCTTCATTGTACTTTCTGCTGCATCAGATAATCTCTGAGATGAGTTTTCATTCATTTTTTTTTTTTCAAAACTCTCATCTGGGAGCCTATATATCTGGCTTCTGTGTATTCAGGTTATTTTCATGGATTGTGGTTTCAGGGGCTTATGGGAATCTCCCTGGGAATTTCTATTGTCCTTCTGAGTTTTGTTGCTTTGCTATCCTGAATGTCATATCATTCTTTTAAGTTTGCATCCACATTTTGACAGATTTCTAGGGAAAGTGTGGAAAAGCAAGTTTTTCATATTTGGGTGGGAAATAACTTCTTGTTTTTTTAAGGCATATGTCATTGACTTTTCAGGTTTGTGTCAGGACCGGTGCCAATCTGAATTCAAACTCACTGTCAGTCGCTTCCCCCTTTATTTCACTCATCTTCAGGAGTTTAAAATTCCAATTAGTTCTATATTTACTGTAGAACTTTTAGTTCTATTAGTGCAATATTCCTTAATTGTGTTTTTTTTCCATTCCGTTAGTTATTTTTGCATTATTGTGATCAGAATAACGGACAGACACAAGGGAGGAAAGATTTATTTCGGCTTACGTTTTCAGTCCATCACAGCAGGGTAGATATGGCAGGGGAAAGAGACGCATTTATGGCAGTGTGAGCTCAAGGAGGGGCCTATTCACATCACCATGGACCAGTATTCAGAGAAATGGAGGTGAAACCAGGCTCTGGGCTGTAACCATCAAGTGATGGTGACATTCTCTTTCCAGCTAGATTGCCACTTACTGAAGCTTCCATAAGTGCCTTCCTCACAGCACCACCAGATGTGGGGTACAGTTCAGATCCAAACCGGAACATGTTTGTGTTGTCCTGAAGTTGTGCCCTTGGGAACAGAAAAGCCATGTTCTGCAGTTTCCTGTGTTTGGACTCCATATTACTGGCATGGGTTATTGCTTGTGGAGTTGTTTAGTTTTCCTGTTTTTTCTTTCTTTCTGTTTTTTTGTTATTTGTTCCTCCTATTTTGCCATCTCTGAGTTTTGCCAAATTTCTTCTGAGGAAGTTTGTTCATTTTATTTACTTCTCTTAGAATCTTTTGTGGAGGCTACGATATTTTTAAATTTCCAATTGTTTAATTCAAATTTTTCTTGATTTGGTAACATACTGCTTCAGCTTGATTCTCCCCCTGCCCCCATCCTGTATTTTTTAGCTGATGAAGTTTTTTTTTGGCTCCTTGTATTGTTTCTCTTGTGGTGTGTGTGTGTGTGTGTGTGTGTGTGTGTGTGTGTGTGTGTGTTCCTGCATGTGCATGCATACACACTTGGCTTTTGGCATATGGTAGGCTTTTTTTCTTAGGTGTCTGAAGAATCTAGACTGTTTAAATTAGAGATCCAGATCCCAGGAATGTGGGTGAGATGAGCATGTGCAGAAAGTGTGTGTTGAGGGTGGAGGACATCATGTCAGCTCTTCTCTACGATAATTGGTGTTGCTAGGTCTGTGCCCATGCCTGGAGTTCTGGTTACCCAAAGACAGGAGGGTGAGGTCTCTCTGATAGCCCTTGACTGTGGTGGTTTTTTTTTTTTTTTTTTTTGGTGTGTGTTGCCTTATTCTTGCCTTTAAAGCCCTCATGCTTTAACTTTTTCAATTAACTTTTTGCCTGACTATGAAGGGCACAGAAGAGAAGACAAGGATTAACTGTTCCTTAAAAATGAATTTTCAATCAGTTTTCCTTCCTTTAGAGGTACTTGTCCTAATTTCTTTATGGCTACTTACAGCACAGCTATTCTCCATCCTTCTTTCCTTCCTTCCTTCCTTCCTTCCTTCCTTCCTTCCTTCCTTCCTTCCTTCCTTCCTTCCTTCCTTCCTTCCTTCCTTCCTTCCTAT